TCTCTCCTGATGGTGGTTAGCCAGTCTCCCATCCCTTCTAGAACTGGGCAGAACATAGATTGTCCTAAATCATAACATAGTACACAAACTAGGTTGTTTGACTCGTGGTTTCACTAAATGGCAAAAATTAGAATTGGAGGCTGGATGTACGTTGGAGGAGACCCCAGGGGCCAGGCTCTTGTCCGTGACTCTCTACCTTTTTCCTGCCTTGACGCAGACTGACGTGACAGCTGACGTCCACGAGCACCGAACCCCACCCACTCCTAGGGTCATGCCGACGTCTCGGCCTTAACTCTCTCTCGTTCCACTCAGGAAGGCATGTAAGGGACTGAGAGTGCTCTGGATGGGTGCTGACATGTTTATTTTCCTCTTCTGTCTATTGAGATATGATTCTGATACCCTGAAAGTCACCATTTTAAAGGGTACAGTTCAATGCATATTCACAGATATGTGCAACCATCACCTCTGTCATGTCAAGTTCTAGTACATTTTCATCACCCCAAAAAGAAACCCTTTATCTATTCACAGTCATTCCCCATTCCTCCTTTTCCCTCCAGCCCCAGGCAACCGCTAATCTATTTTCTATCTCTATGGATTTGCCTATTCCGGACATTGCATATAAACAGAATCATACTGTATGTGACCTTTGTGTCTGGCCTTATAATGTGTTGGCATTATAATGTTTTCAGGGTTCATCCATGTTGTAGCATGTATTAGTACTTCGTTCCTTTCTGTGGCTGAGTAATATTCCATCATGTGGATAGACCACATTTCATTTACCCATTCATCAGCTGATGGATGTTTGGGTTGCCATTTTTTTGGCTGTTATGAATAAGCTGCTACAGATGTCCGTATACAGGTATTTTGTGTAGACGTGTGTTCTTAATTCTCTTAATAGAAGCTTAGGATTAGAATTGCTGGGTCACATGGTAACTCTGTGTTTAACATTTTAAAGAACTGCCAAACTCTTTTCCAACGTGCACCATTTTACATTCCCACCAGCAATGTATTATTTACTTCTTTTTATTATTTATTTATTTTTTTGGGTGGGGGAAAGTAATTGGATTTATTTATTATTTTTTTAATGGAGGTACTGGAAATTGAAGCCAGGACCTCGTGCATGCTAAGCACGCATTCTACCACTAAGTTATACCCTCTCCTTATTTACTTATTTTTAAAAAGTAAATTATTTTCTGGAAAAAAATAGTTCAACACTAGTGCTCCACAGCTATTTTTAGTAACAAGTCACTTGCGACATCCCTCGCAACATACTGACGGCTGTCGGGGCACCGTGCTGAGGACCCCGATGAATGCCGGGCTTCAACCGTTACAAAAGGGAATTTTTTTAAAAAGAGTGAAATGAATCACGCCAGGCAGCTCTTGGGGAAGCGGTCTCTACTGGGAGAGGGGTTCTGTTTTATTGCCTTACTCCTGTCCACCAACGCTGGCCCAGCTCTTTAGGAATCTAGCCTTTTATTCTGGGGTCTGCAGCCCACTTCCCGAGAAGCCACTGAGGGAGCCCTCTTGCCAGTGTTGTGGGCCGTGGTGCTTCTGCTTGAAGGGCTCGTCCCCTCAAGATGCAGAAGACCTCATGAGTTGATTAATATGGTGGGAGGAATCCTTTCACAATGTGTATGTCAACTCACCATGGTGTAACGTTTCGAGTATCTTATAATTTTATTTATCAGTTATACTTCAACAAAGCTGAAGGGGAAAAAAAATGTGGAAGACCAAGAGCTCTGCCTGGTGTCTGGGTCAAAAAGTAAAGCCATATGCTTTTCCCAAGACACCTGTCAGTGGACACCAGGCTTAACAGCCCAAGGGCACTGCTGCCCCACACACTGGTGGCCTTCTTAGATAGAACACAGCCGAGGGCTAGGAAGCGGGAGACAGAGAGTCTGGAATAAGCCTGTCTCTCTCCATCCTCTGCCCACAGAGAAAAGAAACTCTGGGAATGCCATGCGAAGCACCATGAAGGCCGATGAACACAAGATCAAAGACGCCAGGAGGGGTCCCCTGGCACCTTTTCCAAACCAAAAATCTGAAGCTGCAGAACCTCCCAAAACCCCAACCTCGTCTTGTGATTCTCCCAATGCAGCCGCTGCCAAGCAAGCCCTGAAAAAGCCTGTCAGGGGCAAACAGACACCCAGGAAAAAGTAAGTGCTCCCTGGGGCTCCCCCGCGCTCACGCAGGCGGCCTGGTCCTGATGCCAGTGCCAGCCGGGGGGAAGTCGTCCACTGTCTCAGCCCCTCTCGCAGTAAGGCTCAGACGTCTGAGTTCCCACCAGGGGCACTGCTGTCTGTCAGCATCTTGGTCTGGCGGGGTCCAGAGCTCAAGAGCCCCGTCCCTGCCGAGAGTAGGCAGCCTGTCTTTGACACTCGGAGGCCCCCGTGGGCAGGTGAGCCTAAGTGACCCCAGGCCCCAGTGGACAAAGGTGTTTAAGTGACATTGTTTCCAAGGAGTCCCCTTCCTAAGGGGTCGTGTGCTTCCTGGATGTGAATGTGGTCTCAGTGCTAAGACTTGCTTCCTCCTCTTCCTTTCCCACCCCAGAGCTCAAGGAAAAACGCAACAGAATCGCAAACTCACAGATTTCTATCCAGTGCGAAGGAGCTCCAGGAAGAGCAAAGCTGAGCTGCAGGTAGAGTCACGTGGTTCTGCTTCCAGCTCCTGGAGGGCAGGGCGGCCCAGGGGGCAGCGCGTGGTGCGCACGGCCGGAGCTCTTTGTATCATCTTGGGACAGGTCTCTTGGCCTCTGTGGCCTTGGTGTTCTCCTCCGTCTCGTGGGGTCATCATCACGCGCTAGGTCACCTTGAGGCTTGGTTGAGATGCTTCTCTGAAGGAGGCTTGTTGCTTGTGGGACATGGGGTGGAAAGTCAGGGGTCACCACAAAGGGGGCTTTTCCAGGACTTGTTGCAGGGCCATTGGAGCGTGGTGTGCCAGGCTGCGTGTTCTGCCAGAGGCTTTTTTGTCCAGAAGTTTCTGTGTCTTGAGGTGAAGAGCAGTGACTTGGGAACTACTCACTGGTTAGATGACCTTGGGCCAGTTACATAACCATTCTGTGCCTTGCTGTCCTGTCTGTAAGATGGGATAATAAACATATGGGCTTGTCCAGAGGATTAAATCTGTTAATGCACGTGGAACACTAGAACTGAGCCAGTGGGCACCAGTTAACTCTTGTCATCACCTTTGTCTCCCAGGGTATTGTCCCTTCCGAGGCTCCTCTCTGCTCTTTTTCCCCCTGGCCCTGGCCCTGGGAACATGTGAGAACCAGGCAGGAAGGCCAGCTGGGCTGCGAGGCCCCGCCCACTGTGTTTGCCAAGTGCTGAGCTCTGCGGCAGTCAGTCAATATTTGATGCAGTGAGGTGTGGCTGCTGCCTCCCTGTGCAGGAACCCCGGGTGTGGCCCGGCCCTGCAGCCCACCGGCTGCTCTGCTCGCCCTCCCACCCGGGCATCTGGGCTGGCAGAGCAGCCTCGAAGCCTGGGAGTCGTGCTCAGGGTTGCCACCCCTGCAGAGACGCGGGGACCCGGCCTTGTGGGTGTTAGTTAGCATTTCAACCCACACAGACTCCTTCAGCATTGTGATATCAGCTCTGTGGCTGTACATGTGGTGATCGCTCTCTTTCTCACTTTTTCTTTGACTTGCCAGGGCTTCATTTAAAAAAACTGTAAAAGGGGGTCCATTTCCCCCTAGAGAGGAGCTTTGGCTTTATTTCCTTAGAAAGGCAGTGTCTTTCAGCCAAGAACAAGCTGTTACAGAATGTTCGTCTGCAGTGGAGGCTGTGCTCGGTCACTTAGACAGCACTGCAGAGGGCGAGGCGGTGCCAGCCCCGAAGC